AATGCGGTTTCCTCGATCTGAAAGGCCGTGTTTACAAGGCAACAGTGGCGGCCATCCTACGACATGGAAGTGAGACTTGGTCCCTCTAGTCTGAATGCTGAAAATAGAGGGCGAGAAGAGAAAATCTGTGTTGTTCCATCGTAGGTGGATCGGGCACATTCACGGAATCACGTCCCTGATTCATGTGAGGCAGCAGCATATTGCAACTGCACTACATTTTATCCAGGTGTGATACGCCCCCATACCTTTAGTCAGCAAAATGGGCATCAAGGAATCTCTTAAATTCCGACACCGATTTCGCCTCGACTAGCGTCTCCGGCAATTGGTTCCAATGTTTCACCACTTGACGCTCGAAGCATAGACGGTGAGCGATGCGATTGCCATCCGGTACTACTAGTTTATACCGGTTTCCGCGTGTGCTGATTGATGCGCGAAAGTGCAGCAACAGCCTCAAGATAGGGAGGCTGCGCAGGTGCAGTATCCGGTGCGTCATTATGAGATCAACTCGAATCCGACGATATGACAGGGTATAAAGCCCTAGTTTCCTACATCGGTCCTCGTACGACTTACCCCGTAAACTGGGGATGAGCCGGGTAGCTACATGCTGGATCCGTTCCAGTCTCTGCACCTCACCTCGGGCAATAGGCGAGTGAGCCGTAGTCAAGCGTCGGTCTTACGATGGAAGAGAACAAACGGGTGGCAATCTCTTCAGACCAAGTGCAGAAGCTGCGTCTGAGTAGCTGAAGCGCCTTCAAGTCTTCGATCATCGCTGCATATGAAGTATTGCTGGTGTCGGATGGCAGCAGCGTATCTGCAACAATTAGGTGGGTAGGCGAGTACTAGGCAGTGATAACCAAGCTAGATCTTAAGAAAAACAGACAGCGCTGAATAAGTTGCGTTGGCTTGGTCACGTACTACGTATGCCTGATCACCGCTTACCGAGGAAGGCCTTGTTCGGTTTGCCAGACGTAGGGTGGCGCAGGGCTCCAGGCTGACAAAAGTTGACTTGACAGCTGGAAACGACGTCACTGAAGACCAAACTCGGTGCAGTCGGTCTGTCTCGTCTTCCAAGCTGGGGTCTGCATGACCTGCCTTGTGCTTGGATCGAGACGTTACAAGGCATGGCTCGCAGTCATCTTCAGCCGTGCGCCTGCTGTCGTCCCCTAGTCGAAATGCCCGTTTAACGTGTGTTTTCTGCTGAGTTATCTGCGGGTTAATAGCTGATTATGACGCGAGGCAGTGAATGTCGTAAGGAAGCTGTTTCACTGATGTCGCCTTATCTTTGCACAATAGCCAAATGTTTGTGACAGTGAGTTTTTTTACAAGGTGTAGGCATCTAATGGTAGATGTCGGTCTCTCAAAATGTCCTCACCCGATCACAGAGGTGTGAACGACTGCATTGATGGCCAAATGTGTGGCCAGTGGGACTGCATCCTCGGTGCTGTTGTACTGACGATGGATGGATAAACAGACCTCGACCGACACCATTTGTGCACCGATAGTGAAATGCCACACCAGCATGCCAGTCCCATTCAGCGTTACAACGCTGCATGGGCGGACAGAACAACGTTCAGGTAGTCACTGACCAAAGCATTCGCAGAACTGATTGGTCTTGGCACGATCGATGGACATGACGCAGGTTACCAAGCTAGCCACAGCCAGCGCTGTCGTTTCGCTGGAGTCAATAACAAGGAACGCCTCATGAAAGCTACGGCGCACCGCGCTGTGTCTGTGTGAACGAGAAGGCCGCGTTGGTCGTATGTAGGCAAGCATCCAAAGGCTACCGACCTTGCCGTAGGAAGTTCGAAATGGCGGTGTTAGCGGTCGCGGTACTGGGTTACAAATTGAGCATCGTTCAAACTGTCGAAACTGCTAAGGGACGTGTGGTGGCCAAATGTTGTTGGGATGCTTTGGTGATATTTTATGAGCGTGATCAACAAAGTGGGGTAATGCAACGAAATGGTGGTGAGTGCATTCCTACGAAGGACGTAAACCTCACGAGGGACTACCCCGCATAGAAGCAGGTCCCCGGGAGACGGTTCCACGAATGACTGCATTACTTCACTTGTTTTTTCTTACCCTACTTCCTTCTGCACTGAATCTGTTGCGCTCCTGGTTCCTAGTTACTTCGGATCCACCGTCCTACCGATATTTCTCATTAACTCATTCCTTAGCCTCGCTCTTAATTATGGTGCATTTCCTCTATATCTTAATATCAAGAATCTGATAACTATTGCACACTTTCCTAATCACCCTGTCTAGCATCTTTTATAAGACTACGAGCCACTGAATAAGTCCTGGCTGCAGTGAATAGGCGCTTATTTCTTTGTTTACTTATCCGTTTAATTCTCCCTTCAACATTACCTTTACCGTGTATAGTCACGCACGCCCTAACTATCCACCTACAAGTGAAGACTGAAAGGAATGCAACTGAGCTCACCTAGCATCTCAACCATCCGGCAGCCCAAAACACAATTTGATTAGTTCAACTCCATAATTAGACCAAGGAATGTCTAGACACTACACTATGCCGTAATTCCTTACGATGTGAATACTGACTATATTATTCTGATAAAGCAACCTGAGTTTGATGATCCACTGGAGTTACCTTAATATAGTATTTTCCTTATTTTCGCAACTCCCTAACTTGCTACCCACAAATAGCTCCAACTGTATTACTCCAGTCTATTAAGTAAGATTTTGTATTACTCATCTTAGCTTGATTGATGAATCTAACTGTTTCATCCTTTTCATACTCCCTCCCCTCAACCCCCCCCCCGCATGAAACCGCCGCGATCATGGCACTACCAAGCTGCACCGAAAACAACCAAATGAGAATGCCCGCGAACTGGTAGCATACGGCGACAAAAGTTCCAAATGAAAATGTTCGCAAATACATCCCTATAGTAACCCTGTAGATACCCAAACCATTGACAGCGTCGCATGCCTGAGCACGTTGCAATGATCTGTCTCTTTGTGGGCTCGGTTTCTCGAGAAAATATACCTTATTAGTAGAGCCTAAGATTTATTCGTTAGCCTAGTGGGGACCGAGATTGCATACCAGTGAATGACATTCCACAGATAGCACACTCAAAGGGAGATGTTAATGCAGCATTGTAGTGGGGCATACTGCGTTGCCAAACTTAAGCCGATGGCTTCTCAAGTGTGTGTTATGGATGAACTGCATGAGCGACGAAGGTCGCTGGGATTTCTCCGGATTTGGTAAGACACCATGATGTAACGGATGCCCCCGGACCTTGAGTACCCCTCGAAAGCGCAGATACCCATGGAGTACATCCCCAGGGATTTTAATATGATATAGGTAGAAACTCGTCACAGCCATCACACGCCCGGAAAAGCAATGTACGCGCGTTTCATCCTTTCGGGAAATGTCAACAGTGCGCATTCCATCGGACCCTGGTAGGGCTGGAACCCGCAACTCAAGTGTTGCCAGTCCGTGGTTGAGAATACTGAGCTACGGGGGACGGCAACGACCACCGTGAATAAGTTACTAGATGGGATATAGCGCCGCTCACTATCCACTGACTCGCATGTTACTACCGTGCAGAGGACAGGGTAGTCCCCTATACAATCCAACTCCCCCTGCTACTCCTCTGTAACCAGTACGTAGACCCAACTGCTTATAATGCCATAGTTAATTGGCGGCTTAAGTTTGGTACGTTCGTCGTTTAGTGAGAGGGCTACTCTGTCCTCTGCAGGCTAGTAACGTGCAAGTTAGTGGATAGTGAGCGGCGCTGTATCACATCTAGTAACTTATTCACGATGGTCGTTACCGTCCCCAGTAGCTCAGTGGTCTCAACCACGGACTGGCAACAGTCGAGTTGCGGGTTCGAGCCCTACCCAGGGTCCGATGGAATGCGCACTGCTGACGATTTCCGAAAGGATGAAACGCGCGTACAGTAGTTTTCCGGGCGTGTGGCGGCTGTCTGAGTGAGTCTAGATGTGACGAATTGCTACCTATAGCATTCAACACCCCCTACTACTCTTCTGTAATTTTAATATGAGCCCGTAGACAGATAAGATAGGCTCTTTACATGCTTGGTTCCCCTAGGTTTCGGAGTTTAGGGAGCAGGGAGAACTTGCTTCCGCCAGTGATGCCAGATTGGGATGGTATATTCCACGTGAGGTTGCAGACTGGTGATGACTAGACCGAGTACGACAAAAGCGCTGACAACACGGGCTTCTCGTCCACACAGACACAGCGCGGTACGCCGTAGCTTTCATGAGGCGTTCCTTGTTACTGACTCCAGCGAAACAACAGCGCTGACTGTGGCTAGCTTGGTAACCTGCGTCATGTCCATCGATCGTGCCAAGACCAATCAGTTCGGCGAATGCTTTGGTCAGTGACTTCCTGCAGGTTTTTCTGTCCGCCCATGCAGCGTTGTAACGATGTATGAGACTGGCATGTTGGTGTGGCATTTCACTATCGGTGCACAAATGGTGTCGGTCGAGGTCTGTTTATCCATCCATCGTCAGTACAACAGCACCGAGGATGCAGGCCCACTGGCCACACATTTGGCCATCAATGCAGTCGTTCACACCTCTGTGATCGGGTGAGGACATTTTGAGGGACCGATATCTACCATTGGACAGTTGGCAATTTAGTGTGTTCTTGTGTCACCATAAGGCGTGAATCTTGGTCACCGAGCATCTGAGTAAAAAATGAGCCGTTCTTTTGGGACACAGCATATACTCTGAGTCTGCCAGCAGTTGAACTCTTCGCTAACTCTGGCAGTTGTTGAAGACGTTTCGTCACCAACCTAGGTGACATCATCAATGCGTTGTTGTGCAGCGTAGCGTAGGTAAGCCTCGTTGAGAGTGTGGCAGCTTCGATTAAAGTAGACATGCGAAGTTTCTTTACATGCTGCTAAGCTCAATCGTTTCAACAGGAAGCAACATTTCATTAGTCATAAACGCGCTTGCGATACTCGCTAACAGCGCCCTCCCCAAGCCCCTTCAGAGACGCCAGCTCAATACTCTACACAACAAAGCTTGTATCGAACTCCGGTTATGCTCTTTACATTCGCACACAGTTCAACCGTGAGATAAAAGAGAAAAAGGTGCTTTCTAAAAGTAAAAAAGAAAATGTCGAGAACCGTCCGCGTGCTCAGGGAGTGGGTTGGAAAATGCATCCAAAGATCGAAAATGATATGTCGGGCATTCGAAAAATGCATCAAATTCCACATGAAAGCGCTCCATACAGCACCCAAAGTACACATGAAACGAATGATGGTTTATGAAAGGCAGCAGTGTTAAGATTCCATTGATGGAAAAGGCAATATTTGACAATGTGAAAATCCTACGTGATGCAAGTCTACAAAGGTTATCACAGAGTGGAAAATCCACTGATGTCAGTTCGGGAACGATGGAAGAACAGTTCGACGATGTCTGTGTTCCACAGAGCGGAGACTGTTGATAACTACGAGGCGAACAACCAGTAGAACGCAGACAGAAACCAATAGGCTGAAGCTGGAGAACATGAGACGAGGGAAAAAGATTTTCCATACCATCAGATGACGACGAAGTATAGCTGTGCTCGACACGGATCCCAGCGTCTAAAACGATGAGGCAAACGGTGTAAACGGCATGGAAATGGGAAAGAAGAGAAATAATGAAACCGCAATTGTCAAGATTGAACATAAGATAATTCGGCTCAAACACAGAGCTGAAGATACGAAAATTACCTAACAAACCCAATCTTCATTCAAAACCTGTCAATAGTGTGCAGTGACCTAGAGCGTGCTACGCTAAGGGCTGTTGGCACCCGTGGTGGCTTGAGGGTTTCAACTTAAGTCGCTGGAATATATATATATATATATATATATATATATATATATATATATATATATATATAAAGAAACCAAAAAGAAGAACTAAAGCAACAGCTAACCCTCTCCTAATGTTTGGCTGATAAGAAGGGTGTTGCTACGAGCAGATTTATTCAAAGCCAATAGTGGGTCGCAGTTGTGGGAGGGAGGATTTCGGGGAATTGTGGTCCAAGCCTATTACTTGAAGCCTCTGTGCTTTGGGCTCGAGTTTCCACCAGTGTATGGAATTCGGTGTCCCGGCAATATATTAGTTCGCATACCATCGATTGTGTAACAACAATACGAATACGCGAATCGGGTGTTGAAGAACTAGAAAGTAGGAATAGTGGTGAATGTTGGTCGTTGGTCTCTATGCAAATAAAACAACAAATCTTTCCCTGATTTACCCTCTTCGTAAACAGGAACTGGTTGTAATCGTCGACAGGCAAATTCAAGTGGTTAGAAGGTCATATTGTGTGAGGTGCGAAACAGACCAAATGAAATGGAAATTAAATGATGAGGGCGATAAAAAGTGGTCAAGGATAGGGTGCAGAATGTTTTACTGAGTACAATCATTAAAAACTTAGAAATGAATTATTCTATGTACACCTTGTGTCACGAGCCTAAAGCGTCAGGTAAGTAGGTAAATGCTACGGACCGAGTAACGTGCTATTTCTGCAACGGAGTCAGCAATAATTACAGTCCACTTTAATTTCGTTCGTAGACTATGATGGATCCGCCGGAACAATGTGTGCTCACTCATGCCGGCCATATAATGATGGTACTAGTGGAGGTCGCGGAAAACAAACGCGATAGGGGCCAGAAATAAGGGAACGGATGCAAGAGTTTCAATGGGTTTGCGATTGTGCCATGTCCAAAAAAATGCCTAACTGCACGCAGACCCTCTGACCCAATGATCAGGAACACAAGGCGATGGGGATCCCGTCTAGTCCTAGTGTGTGACAGCAGAGTCCCACTGGGATTCGCCCAGAGACGGTAAAACGCAGCGGATGAAGAATAAGATTAATCCAGAGGTGCTTCTAGTGCCAGTATCCATACACCTGTGATTATGGCAAATCGCGTAGGGGATTTGGCCCCTAGCCTTAATGATCACAAGCCTGACTTGTAATCCGAGGGCGCTAGTTCGAGCCTGCGTAGGGACCAGCCGACGCTCGCAGTAGCCTTGGCCAACGTGCGACCGGTGGTGATTGCACGGCAGCGAAGCGTCGGTACTGCGTACCGGCGTACTGCTGATGCATTTTTTGGCTGATTTTGCACCTAACTGACCAGGAACTGACAGACTTGAGACAGATGGTAGCAAACCAATGGGCATCAGGTGGATCCATACAATTATCAGAGACAATGCAGGGTACTCGTATCCTATGCCAATCGAGCTGACCTTACAACGATTACGAAGAAGATAGCTAACTAGGGATCGGTAAGCCATGCAATATCGGTAGTGATGTTGACTGTTTCGCAAACATCCGTTCACAATGGAATCGACTAGGCACTTTGGGCATCGCGGGGTCAAGTGCAACAACGGTAGTCAAGGTGCTCCGAGGAAAGAGGTCAGCTGGGATACGAAGGACGTACCTTAGATGCGCAGATGGATGGAGCTCAACAGACACTCAAGTAACTAAAATAATTTGTCGCTGAAAACTGGCAAAATCCAGCGGAACGCAATTAACGCTCCCACCAGATAGTGTGGCGTTTTGGAGTTGGAAAATCTGTCCGGTTCCATCAAAAATTGACTCAAAACGTTAGTTGTTAATACGCTGATACTTCTTCATGTTCCCGTGTGATAATGGAAGCATAAACTACCCACAAATGTAAGTGTCACAGCAACAGAAAATATTCTTGAATAGTCTAGAGCGAAGCAATGGTCGCTTGTTGAAAAACGAATATTTATACACACTGTCCTCATAGTAAGCCCAATTATCCAAGTACCTGAAAACATCATTTTTAACGTTTCAGATTCGTATACACAGGGGGTCTACCGATCACGATAAAGATACCATTTGGTCGGCTTGCTGAACAATTTCCAGATGGTGCTAGCTGGGTGGTTCAAGACAATCTCGTTCCAGCAAACGGTTCGGCGGCAGTGCTTCAGGACGTGGTGGGTTACGCCTGACAAGCATTCTCTTTATAAAAACCACAAATGCCTGTGTAACAGCACTGCGACGTGGCGGATGTGAATCGTCACTAAAGAAAGTCACCGCCTCCTACCCATCATGATTATCCTAGCCACTCCACGGAGGTCCCTCATCTACTTCGAAGGGTTCCATTGATCATTTCTTGCGCTCACAAACAGATAAGACACAATCACAGATGCCGTGTTACATTAACAACTTCATTCAACATGGCAATATACATGGTTGGCGGCATCCGGATCCGGATTTGTCTGGCAGTGTGGCCTCCACGGACAGCCACAGGACGCCTGCAATTACAGAGGGACTATGGATGGCTGGCGCTGCACTACCCACAGCTCCAACTGCACACCCCATATCCAGTGTAAACCCGAAGGAATAAGACCGGGAGGCATGTGGATGGGAGCCACGTTTCATCAACGGAGCCGGCCCACACTCCTTCACAGCAAACACATGCACACTGTAGTTGGGGATTCAAACGCACACAAGACGGTGGCTGGACCGTAGTCCGCTCCAAACTGAGTGCATGGAACCACTCTTCGAGCCTAGCACGGCCACGAGGACCGTGCACCCCGTCCCTCCCAGCAACGATTCACAGTCTCCTGGAGCCAGCAGTCAAAGTGGAGGGTGTTAGACAGGTAGGCACCTTGTCAACATGTACAGCAAGCGCAGCCACGCCGGGGATGTCAAACAACAGCCAAACACTTGAAAAGACGGTATAAAACAGAATAAAACGAAGAATGCATACAGACATAACGCTGACACAACTCCTGTAAATGTGCATATGAAATAAATTGGTTATAAACAAATCCGCGAAAGGTTAAAGCTGTCAGAAAATATATTTTAAGCATGTGCAACAGCACCATGCGCTCAATATCGATGGAGTACAACCCATCGGCGCCCGTCGCTTCCGCAACTGCCGATAGTTTTTCGCATGCACGAGGGCTTTTTCTTGCACCTCGGCAACAGCCTACGTGATCAGATCGCGAAACGTACGCCCATCAAGCACCTGAAATTCCAAACCTAAAATGAACATTAGCACGTGGTAGAATCACCTTGATCATGTCCTGGTAACGAAGTTACGATTTCCCAGCATGTTGCATCCTCACATACAGCTGACCGTATAATAATAGGTGCCTCGGTATCCGCGTCGAATCCATAAGCAACACATGACCGGGCCACCTCAAGTGTCTCAGCAAAAGTATGCAGTCCACTGCATACATTCCACTTCGGCGCAGCGCCTCCGTAACTGCAACTCCGTCGCACCAACCAATGCGCAGAATCCGTCGTAGACACCGTTGATAAAAACGCTTGAGAATATCTCACATCTCGCCGGTATAACGTCCACGTTCCGCTGCCGTATAGAAGAACGAACAGCACCATGGATTTGTAGAACATCAACCTCATGCCAACGATAAGCTGATGGTTGTTCCACACTCGGTACTCAAGCCTACCGAATGCCGCCGCTGCCTTCGATACGCGGATCCGCAGCTCACTGTGTAGCTGCTGGGTAGTCGAAACCACACTCCCAAGGTGGCAGAAGCAGAGGGTGGTTTCTAATACTTCAGCACCAATGCTGATTCGCGGCAATATTGAAGATGTACCTCCGGTGAAGGCTGAAAGAGACAGACAGTATTGCTTGTGTTGATGAAAAGTACCGAATTTGAACGCTGTCGAAGCCAGAGCACTAGTCATGTGCTGCAACTCATCCGCGCTGTGTGAAAACAACGCACAGTCGTCAGCAAACAGCAACATACGGATAGTTGTCTCACAGTTCTCGCACCGAAACGTCGGGTGTTCAGCAACCCACCATCAATACGATGCTCCACACGAACACCGTAAGCAAAAGCGGCATCAAAACACAAGACTACATTGCATGAAGATAGATATTAAACAGGGCAGGAGCTAAGACACAGCCTTGCTTCACACCAGAGACAACTGCAAAGTCATTCGAGGTCTCTCCACTCAGCTGCACCCTCGCTCGCATATCACTGTGCAGACATTCAATTAAACATACAAACTTACGCGGGCAACCACACTTACCCAACACCAGCCACAATGCCTCGCGGTTCACCGTAGCAATTGCTTTGGTGAAACCAACAAAAAGCGAGTACAATGGCTGATGTCGTTCTCTGCACTTCTCTTGCAACTGACGAGCCGCAAACACCACATGGATGGTGCTGCGACCCGAACGGAATCCACGTTGCTCTTCCGCCACGTTCGGTACCACAACCTGACTAACGAGGCGGTTGAGCAGGATTCGGACAACCACTTTGCCCACACAACTCCGCAGGTTGATACCACGACAGTTCGTGGCACATTGTTTGCTTCCTATGCCCTAAGGGCATCTTTCAGCCCAGGAGGCACCTCCTCTTCAATCCACAAGCGTTGCACCAAGTGGTGCAGCACAGTCACCAACGCGGGTCCGCCGTGTTTCAATACTTAAGGCGAAATCCCGTCGGCACCGGCACATTTACTGTTTCGCAGCTGAGCAAGTGCTCTCTGCGTCTCATCCAGTGTCCCCATGTCCGCCAAACTCAACTTCATATCGCGCTGCTTCTGGCCGTTCTATGTAGACCAGTCGATCTCTGAACGGTTGTT